AATTTCTGAACGCCCTTCTTGATTGAAATCATTAGCACCCAGCAACAAGGGAGGAAAATCGAAATCTGCATCGTAACTTGCTTGATTTTCAAATGTTCCATTTTCATTTCCCAGAAATGTAATTAGATTTTTAGTACCATAATTGGCTGCTGCTATATCGACTCGACCGTCTTTATTGAAATCATTGACAATGATTGAGTGAGGATGAGACTTGAACCCTGTTGAGAAGATCATTTGACTGTCAAAATTGCCATTATCATATCCAAGAAGGATACCTATGCTGTCACTACCAGAATTGGCAACAGCAATATCCAATTGACTATCATTATTGAAATCAAAAATGACAAAGCTACGCAAACGAGAACCTTTACCAGATGGAAATTTTATTTCGTGTTTCAGCGCTCCTCTATCATACCGAAGTAGTACACTTACTTGGTTGTCATTCCAATTAGCGACGGCAATATCCAATCGATCGTCGCTGTTAAAGTCACCAACAGCTAAGGCGACTGGAAGAGAGCCAGTTGAAAATGTCGATTGTTTAAAGAACGAGCCATTTCCAAATCCAAGAAAAATTTTTACATTGTTACTTTCCTGATTAACGAACACAATATCTAGTTGAGTGTCTTTATTAAAATCTCCAACACCTACAGAAGCTGTCTTAAGGTCAGTTGAATACATCGTTTGATTGGTAAAAGAGCCGTTGCCATATCCGAGAAGGATACTTAGACCGCTGTCCCTATTGCTGACCACTATATCTAATCGGGCATCGTTATTTAAATCACCAACAGCCACCGAATCTGGATGGATACCCACAGAATATTGCATTTCACTTGCAAAAGAGCCATCACCGTGGCCGAGAAGCACACTTACACTATTTCCGTACAAATTAGTAACGACGATATCTAATCGAGTGTCGTTATTGAAATCATCAGTAGCTATACTGTATGGACATGAACCAGCTGAAAATTGCACGTGAGTCATAAAAGAACCATTGCCATATCCGAGAAGTATACTTACAGTATTTTCTTCTGCATTAGCAACGGCGATATCCTGTATGAAGTCGTTGTTAAAGTCAGCAACAACTACAGATTCTGGATAACGTCCAACTAAATATATGGCTGGATTTGTAAAAGAGCCATCACCATATCCGAGAAAGATATTTACAGTGTTGTCAGCCGAATTGGTGACTACGATATCCAATCGGGTGTCGTTATTTAAATCAGCAACAGCTACATAAGTTGGAGAAGAACCAGTTGGATATGTCTCTCGGGTTTGAAAAGTGCCATCACCATATCCAAAAAGTACACTTACTGTGTTTCCGGTGTAATCAGCAGTGACGATATCGAGATAATTGTCGTTGTTTAAATCTCCAACAGCTACAGACCACGGGTTATAGCCAGCTGGATACATCTTTTGAATGGGAAAGAACTCGTCATAACCAAGCATGATTTCTATTGTACGCGTATCGTTGCTGATAATGACAATGTCTAAGCGATTATCTTTGTTTAAATCTCCTATAGCAATAGAAATTGATGAAGAAGATCCAGTTGAATACATTGTTGGGCTTGCAAAGGTACCGTTGCCATATCCGACAAGTAGAGCTGTATTGTTAGTACCAATATTGGTGATGACTAAATCCATTCGATTGTCATTGTTGAAGTCATCAATCCCAATAGAATATGGAGAAGCACCACCGAGAGAATATGTCGTTTGAGTCATAAAAGTCCCATTACCGTGACCCAGAAGTATACCTACACTATTATTTCCATAGTTGGTGATGGCAATATCTAACATGGTGTCATCATTTAAATAACCAACAGCAAGCGAGCATGGATGGGAATTCGGACCAGTTGAAAACATGATTTGATTCGCAAAACTACTGTTACTAGTTCCAAGGAGTATACCAACATTGTTTGTGCCATAATTGGCAATAGCAAGATCCATCTGTTTGTCGTTGTTGAAATCACCACTGACAACCGCAAACGGAAAAGAGTCATAGCCCGTAGAGTATGTGCTTGAATTTGAAAAGCTTCCATTTCCGTATCCATAAAATACATTTACACTGTGTGTGCCGTAGTTAGCAGTGACAATATCTAGTGCTGTGTCATTATTAAGATCTGCTACATGGATCCAAACAGGACGAGATGATCCAACTGAAAGCACTATTTGGCTCTGAAAAGACTCATTTTGTAATGTAAGAAACACACCGACACTGTTTGTACCGAAATTTGCAACGGCGATATCCAGTCGATGATCGTTGTCGAAATCACCAACAGCAATCATGTACGGAGCAGAGCCACGACCGGTGGAATATTTGACTGGCTTTGCCACAGTGCCATCACCGTATCCAAAATATATAATTATATTGTCGGTAATATAATCGACAACAACAATATCTAACCAAGTATCATTGTTAAAGTCTCCCATGGCGACAGATCGTAGATCACTCTTATAGTCAATAGGATTTCGAGCCGTTGCTTTAAAATTAAGTCCACATTTTGGAACTAAGTAACACAACAACAAAGAAATAAAGACTGATCAGCTACTATGGTTTAATTATTCCTAGTGGGTTGGATCAATCCGGATGTGAACTAGTGCTTTTGAAGAGTACGTCGTTGAGTCTCGTGAAACTCATCCCTCAGATTACTCATTGCCTACTCTCTTTCATTTCCTTGACAATTCGTTCACGAAGCGTATAGTGACTGTCAAACAACAGACATCGCAACTAATATGATTTAAGTAAGGACCATAGACTGATCCTAACAATATGGCCAAAACCACTATTATCTCTATCTTACATGTGCTTCTATGACATGTTATCGGGTAAAAATATACTATAATAGCAAAAATGCTAAAGCGTTTCGAAATCAAAAGAATGCTAATGTGGTTGTGCTGTAACAATCCTCTAATTGCATCATGAATGTTTTTCACTTGTATATGGGAATATACAATGGATAGTTCAACAAATTTCTATTAATAGCATTTTTCATACGAATTGAGTGCTTATTCATTTTCGATGTTGCCTATCGAGACCTGTGATTCTCTATTGTCTGATCATTCTCGTTTTTCATCCTAGGATTCATTTGTTGCTAGATCTAGCTTATCACAACTATGTAGTTTTTAGGATATTTTGAAAATTTCAACAAAAACGATGTGTCTTCTTCTTCAGATGATCAAGTACGAAGGATTAACTAACCTTTTCAGTACACGGTAAGCTACCAGGAAATATGAATATAACAGGTATAACTTACAAAAAAACCATTAATGAAGAAAATTAATTAACTAATGTTCTGAGAAGTGTCACGTTTACCGTTACTTAGACTTCCACTTACCAAAGTAACAGTAAGTGTTTTTATGATTGAAAAGTCTCCTATAGAGGGGTAATAAATGCTTAGCATAACCATGAGTTATTTATTGTTGCGTCATAGCCCTCATCATTTACCACTGGTTAGGCAAGTATGCGGTGCAAGCGATTACCACGCAATGGTAAAGGGTAAGTAATAGGTCCTTTGCATTTGATTAGAGGGCTGAGAAGGTGAATCATTGTTAGCTCATGGTTTCTTAAATTTTGTAGTATCGTTATTAACTATCGAGAAACAGTCTTTTCAGAGCTCAACCCTCAAGGCCACAAATTTTGAAAGGTTATCAATAAATGATGGAGACTAATAAGAAGACGAACCAGTTTTCCTAGGCATTTTCAAAACAGGTATATATTTCGATGCAGAGTGAGTCCAGAGATCATTTGATGCCACGTTCAAACTATTTGGAAAACGATTTGATGATTTTTGGTGATCAGACGAGTGAACACTAACAATAACTTTGTCAAAACATCGATTCATCTGCCTATAAATAGTTTCATTTGAAAGATTAGCAGATTTTGCACCAATTCTTCGATGAATCATACAGAAATAGTCAACGTAAGGTGCATTCATGGTGAACCAATAGTGTTTCTATCGAAGTTTTGTGTACGTCACAAAGACTCACCCTTCTCAATTTCTTTCGAAGGGACTTTACGATAGATCTGTTTAAGGTTTTGATGCGATCTTTGATGAACTACACGCTGCCACAATTTTCTTGTCGATATCAAAAACATACTGATGGCAAACGTTCAATAATCATCTCAGACCAATTCTGGACAATCACATAATCAGCTTTTGCTCTGATGAGGCAATATCAACTCTCAAAAAAATTTTAGTTAATAAGTCCATTGTAAAGCCTTTTTGAAAACGTCCGACAAACCTGAGCCTTCCTAACATACATAAAATATCGATAGCAACACTATTGGCTCACCATAAATTCTGCTTATGCTTACTATCTCTGGATGATCCATCGAAGAATTTGTGCAGAATTCTCTGTTCTTTCAAATGAGACTTTTTATAGATAGGTGAAGAGATGCTTTGACAAACTTATTGTTATTATACAGCTACCTGGATGCAGTAACCTTATGGTATAGCAATCTGCGTCAGAAGCCATTGAATTGTTTACCAAATAGTTTGAATGTGGTATCAAATGATTTGTCATTTCATTCTGCGTAAAAATATGTACTGCTTTTGAGAATTCCGAAGTCAATCAAATTGTCTTCTTTATGAACCTCTCCTTTGGTGAATACGTATGATCGAAGTTTATAAAAAAAATTGTAATTTTCATACAACTGTCTTTCTTTTGAGGCAAAAATACAACTGATCAATATCGTCTCACTAACAAGTCCTATTTACCGCATACTGGTAACCATAATAATGCGAATATCATATTCCTAGATACCCTCTGTTTGAACTCATAGTTTTCTCATTTGTAGAACTTACAGTGTAGGAAAAAACTCCAAAAGCATTCATTGTATTGTCCATATCTCAATAAAGGAACATGTTCACGAATTTACAGTTTACAAACTAATCTTACGCATCGTTACCTGTGATATAAAAATAGAAGATTTTTAGCTAACTTTTTCACTCAATAAGAAAATAAAATGAAATAAAGGATCAAGAAAATTATTGATTAGTCTCACGATGATAATAGTTGAAAAAAAAAGAGTGAATCACTGTTCTTGTTTCACGAAGAACTAAGAATCATCAGCCCATCCTAATTTTCAAAGAAGATTTTTGAAGCAGATGTATTTTATCATAGGTTGAGCAGCTGTGATACAGGCGCAGGTGTGTGAGTTTAGAGAAGAGAAAACATCTACATTTCACATACTAACACTCATCAAGATGGTGATGCGTGGATGTTAATGGTAAGAGACCTTCTAAATCTTGATCATCTAATTTGTCATCATAATTCAAGATCGTTTTCATTTCAAATATATGAGATGTTCTTTTCAAAGTATAATCCCAACATTTATAGAGATTGAATACAATTTGTTCTTTGCGAGAATTGATTGAAAATAGTGAATTACAAAATAATTTGTCTGATGTCAGATTTAATATGTACTTACCATCTGTTCATTTTCTGAAGATAATCGACGATTAACTAGTTATTAATCAGATAGAATTATTATTTGATGGTGTACATACAAAGTTTTATAGTTTCAAAAAGCAGTAACAGAAAAAATTCACCAGAATATAATAAAGAGATGAAAATTCAATAGAAAATATGAGAGAACATAAGTGAACTATACAGAAAGAAAGAAAAAGAAAACGAATATACCTGAACATACATTAGAAAAGAGTCAGAAATTCCAATACGGCTTTAAAATTCATCGTTCTCGCATTCAATAAAAGCAAAATGTTTGAAAGCTTCGCAAATAATTGGACATGCTTAGTACTACGTACATAACTACAAAGTTTCAGTTCTATAGCGTATTCTATGAATTAAAATCTTTAACAACACTATCATATACTACTTTTTCAAATTTTTCTATGGGTTATACTGAGAAAATTCAATATAAAAATTGCTCAACAATGGTTCCGTTTTTGTTAATAGAGGGTTAAAGCTCATCAGACCACTAGCTAGTGATAGTTGTAAGAAAATGTATTTTATTGATGACGGATATATAAAATTCATTCAAGCTATTGTAACACGAAAAACAACTAAAGAATTAGTAATTTGCGAAATGGTATTTTTCAAGATGATCAAGATCATGAACAAAGGGTGGCTTCGGATGCCGTTAAATAGATTTTTTATAAAATCGAATTAAACCAAAAAATTGTGTTGCAAAATTAGTCGACATGTGGCCTATAGACAAAGTTTGGGTGTATTAAAAGGGGAATTACCGGGATAGATATACAGTAATATGGAGCAATTGAAAAGCGACGATATGCAGGAATGGAACAGATTTAGTGTTGCTTTATGTCAACGAATAATGGATAACATACCAGCATAGTTAAAATTAGTAACCGATTAAGGTGGTAATCAAATACAGGAACATTGATAACTATTGTTTTGCGTTTTCTTTTTTATAATAGTAGCATTTTTTTAAAATAATAACCAAGATAATCAGAAAAATTAAAAAAATAGTACGTGATAGTATTCTTATAGGTTTTCATTGAACTTCTGAGACACCCTTTATAATGCTTACGCTCCTCTGCAGGCACCATAGGGTGAAAATATGTAAAGAAGATGTGGACCGTAGAGAAGAAATATTTACTTTTGTCACGTTCTATAAGAAGGTCAACTGTATTTTCTCTTATTCTTTCGAATTTCTATTATATCCAAGAACATATCGCTGAGATAAAGAACAAATCCAGAATAAGCTGCTGTTTTCATTTAGAGAGGTAAAAGAATACCACCAAAAATAATACTAAAAACGATTCAAGAACATTGAACAAGATAAAGTTAATCTTTCTCTAACAAGTAACAGTGTGTAACATCAGTTTGTAAAAAAATAAGATCGTAAATTTGTTGCTATATTGAGATATGAAAAAAAATATAGATAGATATATATAAAACGCAATAATCTCCGTCTTAGATAAATTTATTATTCTTATTTCTCTAGAACAGCGCAATGATGA